AAGTGATTACCAACAAGAATAAACAGAATGTGCATAAAATAGGATTTTGGAGTGTTTTGCATGCTTGTTCATTAATTTCTTGCAAAGAATTTCCTTAATGTTTGGTTTGTATTGAGAATTATAAACTTTATTTATATAATGTGGACAACTATAAATTCATCAAAAGAAAATATGCACGTAAAAACAAGCAAGTTTTATAGAAGTTTGTCTCATTGTGAGATTACGTCATTTTTTACCACTACTGCAGTAATTCAATATGATATTTTAAACCTTAATGACGAACTCTACGTACCCGACACTAATTAAGGCTTCACAATTTAACAATTTCTTCATGCAATGCCACAAATCTTGGTATCCTTTCATGCTCGTGGTGGATGTACTTTCTAGTGGATAAAATAAAAAAAATGATATTATTGTGAGAGCATGCAAATTGAATTTGTTCTCCTCGATTGACACCACTCAACTTACTAAATATGTCATAACTATAGGCTCATGGTTTGAAGCCCACAGATTAGTTATCCAATCAACCAAATGAAAAATGGTTTTTATCTGACGATGTAATCATGGATGAGCAGTTTGGTTCGAAAAAAAGTTTAGAAGAGCCAACTCTCATAATAATATTGAGGTTGCAAATTACTGACCACTTTCGTTTTGCAAATTACCATTTATACAGTTGATACACAGTGCTCACTTGATTACACCAAGTTTCCATAAGTTCAAATTTTGAGTGCTTAAAATTGAATTTAGGTAGAAGGCCATGTTTGGAACATTAGTGGGGCAGTAGACAAGTAGCAATAACGTTGGTAAAGTCAAGATTATTGATAATTAGAGATTAAGAAACTTATCTTTTATACCTAATTATAATTCCATTGACTGCACTTTTCTTTTATGCCTCTCCTGTTCATGCACCCAGATTATGACAGTGATCAGCAATAATGGTCTTTTTTAGGTAAGCCTCTCTAATGTGAGTGAATTTCAAAAGCCCACCCAAAATATAATTTGGACTTCCAGTTTGCGGCCCAAAATTTATCCCTCGTTTAGTTGAACTAAAAATTCGTCATTTTAATATTTTATATGGTCAAAATTGTGGAAGGACGAATTTTGCCATATTTTTAAAGGTTGAAAATGTCTAATTTCAGAAAAAAGGTTGATGACCAGTTACCTTAAGAAAATGTGATCACGAGTCATAAAAGGCGTCTATTTGTTCGTGAACTTTACAAAATGGTTGGGCCTTTTAGGTAAGATTACTTTGT